AAATCAAGAGTTGGACACTTAACTGATTGGGCCACTCAGATACCACTCTATAATTTTTTATATATATACAGTGTCTAACATTCAGTAAAAAAAATAGGCACATGAAAAGACAAAATGCAACTGGAAACCAGGAGGAAAAATTGACAGTAGAAACATCCCCGTAGGACAAGCAGAGATATTTGAATTATCAATCATGAACTTAATAAATCTGTGATTAATGTGTTAAAAGAATTAAAGACAAAATTGGTAACTTTGAGATTTGAAATAATGAATTAGAAATTCTGAAACTGAAAAGCACAAGAACTGGTTATTAGGAACTCAGTGAATGGGTTTAACAGCATAGATAAAGCTGAAAAGAAAATTAGTGAAGTAAAAGGAAAAAAATTCAGGCTAAAGCACTGAGAGGCAGAAGGATGGAGAAGATGGAAGAGTGTAAAGGACATACGGAATATGATGAAAAGGTCTTTATGTGTAAGTAATTGAAGTTCCAGAAGGAGAGGAAAAAGGAAATGGCACAGTAGCAATTACAGGTGTGCCTCGTTTTATTGTGCTTTGCAGATAGTGCATTTTGTTTTCTTAACAAATTGAAGGTATCTGGCAACCTTCTACTCCGTTATTCCAACAGCATTTGCTCACTTTATGTCTCTGTCATATGCTAAATTCTCCCAGTATTTCAGACTTGCTCATTTATGTTTGTTACGGTGATCTTTGATGTTACTATTCTACTTGTTTTGGGGCACCACAAACCACACCCTTGTGAAATGGTGAACTTTTTTTTTTTTTTTTTTTTTTTTAAGAAAGCTCTGCGCCTAATGTGGGGCTTGAACTCATGACCCTAAAATCAAAAGTTGCGTGCTGTACTGAGCCATCTAAGCACTCCTAAAATGGTGAACTTAATTGATAAATGTATGTGTTCTGACTACTCCATTGACCAGCTGTTTCCTCATCTCTCTCGTTTGGCTTCCCTGTTTCCTGAGACACAATATTGAAATTAGGCCACTTACTGACCCTACAGTGGCCTCTTAAGTGTTCAGATAAAAGGAAGAGTGGCATGCCTCTCAGTTAAACAAAAACCTAGAAATGATTAAGCTTAGTGAGGAAGTCACATCTAAAGCTGAGATAGGCTGAGAGCTATGTCTCTTACACCAGTTGAGTGCAAAGGAAAAGTTCTTGAAGGAAATTAAAAGTGCTACTCCAGTGAACACACAGATGATAAAAGCAAAACAGCCGTACTGCAGATGTGGAGAAACTTTTAGGGGTCTGGGTAGAGGACCAAACCAGCCCCAACATTCCCTTAAGTCAAAGCCTAATCCAGAGCAAGGTCCTGACTGTCTTCTATTTTGTGAAGTATAAGAGAGGGGAAGCTGCAGAAGAAAAGTTTGAAGCTAGCAGAGGCTGGCTCTTGGGGTTTAAGGGAAGACGCTATACTGTCTTGTAACAGAAATGCAAGTTGAAGCAGCAAGTGCTGGTGTAGAAGCTGCAGTGAGCTCTCCAGAACATCTAGCTAAGATAGTGAAGGTGGCTACATTAAACTTAAGTTTTCTACAGTCTTCGTTCAGATGAAGATACCATCTAGGACTTTCGTTGGTAGAGATCCGTGTCTGGCCTCAAATCTTCACAGGACGGGCCGACTCTCTTGTTGAGGGGCTAATGCAGCTGGTGACTAAGTTGAAGCCACAGCTCATTTACCACTCCAACATCCTAGGGCCCTTAAGAATGATGCTAAATCTACTCTGCTTGTGCTCTGTAAATGGAACAACAAAGCCTGGATGATAGCACAACTGTTTACAATGTGGTTTACTGAATATTTTAAGCCTACTGGTGAGACCTGCTCAAAGGAAAAAAAATATTTCAGGGGCGCCTCGGTCGGTTAAGCATCTAACTTTGGCTCAGGTCATGATCTCAGTGAGTTCAAGCCCCACATGGGGCTCTGAGCTGTTAGCTTGAGCAAGCTGGAGCTTGCTTCAGATTCTGTTTCCCTGTCTCTCTGCCCCTCCCCCCACTTGGGTTTTCTCTCTCAAAAATAAATATGTAAAAAATAATTTCAAAATATTACTGCTCATTGACATTGCACTTAGTCCCCTGGGAGGTCTGATGGAGATGTAAAAGGTTCATGTTGTTTTCATGCCTGCTAACACCGCATCCATTCTGCAGCCCGTGGATCAAGGATCTTCAAATCACTGCTTAACGAAATACATTTCATAAGGCTGCCATAGATAATGATTCCTCTGTGGATCTGGGCAAAGTCCGTTAAAAACCCCTGGAAAGGATTTACCATTCTAGATGACATTAAAAACATTGGTGATTCCTGGGAGGAAGTCAGAATATCAGCATTAGCAGGAGTCTGGAAGAAGTTGATTGTAGCCCTCCTGTAGACTTTGAGGGGCTCAAGACCTCAGGGCAGGAAGTAGCTGCAGGTGTGATAGAAGTAACGAGAACTAGAATCAGAAGTGGAGCCCAAAGATGGGACTGCATGACTGCAATCTCAGGATCAAACTCGAACTGATGAGGGAGTTCCATCTTACAGTGGAGCAAAGAAAGTCATTTCTTGAGATGGAATCTTCTGGGGAAGATGCTGTGAAGACTGTCGAAATGATAGCAGAGGATTTAGAATATGAATGACATAAACTTAATTGATAAAGCCAATGGAAGGCTTTGAGAGGACTGAAAGATTTTGAAAAAAATTTCTACTGTGGGTATAATGCTCTCAGAGAGCCTCTAATGGTACAGAGAACTCCTTCAGGAAAGGAAGAGTCCATCAGAGCAGTTGACTTCACCGTTGTCTTATTTTAAGAAGTTGCCGCAGCCACACCCACCCTCATCAGTCAGCCATCAGCATTGAGTCAGGACCCTCCACCATCAGAAAGCTTACAACTCACTAAAAGCTTAGATAATGGTTGGCGTTTTTTAGCAATAAAATATTTTTAATTAAGGTATATACATTTTTATTTTTTAAACAATTTTTTACTTATTTCTGAGAGAGAGAGAGAGACAGTGTGAGCCGGGGAGGGTCAGAGAGAGCGGGAGACAGAATCCGAAGCAGGCTCCAGGCTCTGAGCTAGCTGTCAGCACAGAGCCCGACGCGGGGCTCGAACCCACGAACCGTGAGATCATGACCTGAGCTGAAGTTGGACGCTTAATTGACCAAGCCACCCAGGTGCCCCAGTATATACATTTTTAAAGACCTAATACTCCTATACTCTTAATGGACTATATATAGTATAGTATAAAAACGTAACTTTTGTATGTACTGGGAAGCCAGAATACTCATTTGACTCATTTTATTGAGATAGGTGCTTTATTGTGGTGGTCTGGAATCGAACCTACAGTATCTCTGAGGTATACCTGTATATTTTGGATATATGTACATTTAGACATATGTTTTTCAAGTATATTCTTTGATTATATGTTCTTACTCTTTGTTAGGGTATCTTGATAAGCAAGTTTTTTATAAAGTAGAATTTAATTATCTTTTGTATGGTGTGGTTAATGCTTTTTATCTTGTTTAAGAAAGATGATTTTCTTCTATTGTCTTTTCAAGCTTTATAGATCTGGCTTTCACAGTTAGGTGTATAACCTATGTAGTTATTTGGTGGGTTTGTTTGTTTTTTTTTTTTTTTGCTTTTTTATTATAGTGTAAGGTGAGGGTTTAGTTTGACTTTATTGTTTTTCTATATGGATACCCAATTGTTGCACTACTATTTTTGGAAAAGACCAGTCCTCTATGATAAGTGAAGGCTCTGTATATGTGTGGGTCTTTTCTGTTCCACTAATTTATTTGTCTTTCTCAGACACAGAAAAATCCATGTAAATGGCAAGTACAAAATAAGATGGTAGGAATAAATACAAATTTATCAGTCATTATAACAAATATAAAATGTACTAACCTCACTAGTTAAAAAACAAAGATTGTTACATTGAGTTTTAAAAATATAGCTACGTATTCTTTAAAAGAAACCTATGTAAAGCATCGGGACTCAGAAAAGTTGAAAGTAGAAGATGGGAAAAAGAATTATCAGGCAAATTCTGGAGGTCATTTATATGGCAAGGAATGGTATCTCATTTCAACTCCATGCTTTTCTGGGTTCAGGACCCCTCTGCGCCCTCACCCTAGTGGTTGTAAAACTCTGGCCTCTGCATTACTTCCCAGGGTAGCCACATATTTTATTTCTACCTTTGGGAATTTTGTTTATTCTGTTGTGAGGTGACCTGTGCATTTAAAACAAACTTGCATCTAGCACTTTTTGGTGTGATGTCTCCCTCCCCCGTGCAATATTTAGTCTGCTATGTAATTTGTTTTTTCTTTATTTATTTATTTTAATCATTTTTTATTGTTTTTAAAAAAGTTTTAATGTTTTTTATTTATTTCTGAGAGAGACAGAGAGAGAGAACATGAGCAGGGGAGGGTCAGAGAGAGAGAGAGAGAGGGAGATACAAATCTGAAACAGGCTCCAGGCTCTGAGCTAGCTGTCAGCACAGAGCCCAATGCGGGGCTCGAACCCACGAACCGTGAGATCATGACCTGAGCTGAAGTCAGATGCTTAATTTTATTTTTGAGAGAGAGAGAGACAGACCAAGCACTAGAGAGAGAGGGGAAAGAGAGAGGGAGACACAGAATCGAAAGCAGGCTCCAGGCTCTGAGCTGTCAGCACAGAGCCCGACGCAGGGCTCAAACCCACGAACCGTGAGATCATGACCTGAGCTGAAGTCAAACTCTCAGCCGACTGAGCCACCCAGGCGGCCCTTGTCTGCTGTGTAATTTCTGAACCATTAGTCTCTTGCATGGTTTTAAGAACCCACCCTTCTAGGGGAAGCACTAAAAATGGAAAATAATTGCCCTTGGGCAGGGGTATTACAGATCATTTCTTATGGTCTTGTGCAATTTTTTTTTATATTTCTGCAGTCGAACACATATTTTGTAACTTCTTTTTTTTAACTTGAAAAAGGAAATTGTCCTTAAGATCCTCCCAGTAATAGCCCTTCTTTTCCATTTGTTGCAGGTGGTGCGGTTGTGTCAGAACCCAAAGCTGGCGCTAAAGAATAGCCCACCTTATATCTTAGACCTGCTGCCAGATACCTACCAGCACCTGCGCACTATCTTGTCAAGATATGAGGGGAAGATGGAGACACTTGGAGAAAATGAGTATTTTAGGGTGTTCATGGAGAATTTGATGAAGAAAACTAAGCAGACCATAAGCCTCTTCAAGGAGGGAAAAGAAAGAATGTATGAGGAGAATTCTCAGCCTAGGTAATGACAAATACTACACAAATATTTATTCAGGCCTGTGACTGCCTGAATGGGTAACACATAGAAGTAGTTGAATTAATATTAATTTTATGTCAACGAGACTGCAAAGTTGATATTTGATTTAAAGGTATGTTTTGTTATTTTTTGTTATTATTTCAATGTTTATTTTTGAGAGAGAGACAGTGTGAGCAGGGAAGGGGCCGAGAGAGAGAGACGGAGACCCAGAATCCAAAGCAGGCTCCAGACGCTCAGCACAGAGCCCAGCGTGGGGCTTGAACTCCCAAACTCTGAGATCATGACCTGAGCCGAACTTAGATGCTTAACCAACTGAGCCACCCAGGTGCCCCTAAAGGTGTGTTTTATATAAAAGGTTGTCTTGGAGGATATTGAGCCATCCCTACCTTTGATAGATTTGTTTATCTCTGAACAGTCAGTGACTAATAGTCATGAAGATGAGTTGGAGGCAGTAGGTCCCTTAGAGATGATGAAGATCATGAAAGTTTGTAGATAGGCAAGCGATTGAAAGAAGGTTGAGGTTCAGCTGAGGTTGGGAGTAGAGTGTATTTTGCCAGAGCTATAGTATATTAGGGAAGTCATAAATATGAGATAATAAATAAAAATAAAATCAGATAGCTTTTTTAAATAAAGAAAACTGAAATATTTCTTTTATAGGTAACTTTTCCTATTGAATTAACAGTTAACTCAATAAATATTTGAGAGACCCCTTTTATACTTATTACATACCATATTATATATATGTACTGTATGTACATGTGTGTGTGTGTATATATATGTATATATATGTATTTATGTATGTTACTAGTTATAAATTACGTATTGGGAGAGAAATGGGTTGATTGTAGGTATGGTTGTATTTGGTTTGGTCCAGTTGGAAATATTAACTCATCTAGAACTAGTAATAAAATGTAAATTCTACTAGAACTTTTTAGGTAGTAAATTACTTTCAAGGAGTGACATGAATTAGGAAAGATGAGATTAAGTTAGCACGTGTGACTCAAGCAGTAACTTAGTAAATGGTATCCTGGTAGCCTACCTGCCACTCCTTTGACTCTCTGGGAACCCTCATCTCTCACTTAAAGTTTTACCCACCTAATTATTCATATTACTTTACTGTGACGGATAGCTCAGGTTTCGTCCAGAGTATCAGTCTTTTCTTGTTAAAAAGATTTCTGGTGATGGAATTCAATCTGTCGGAACCTTTGTAACTTCTAGTTTATGTGAAAGTGAACTTTATTCCTTTTAAATATTTAAATCTGATGACTTTTGTTAAAATAAAACCCTGACTGTGTAGACCTTAGCTGACTGGTGATTTTGTATTGCTAAGTTTTTAAAAAATAATTTTACTTTATTAGATATCAGAACTTTCAAATCTAATTTTAACATTTACAGTGAACTAGGTTCTAATTGGAGGAGGTGAAAAGGGGGGTTAGGCTCTCAATTATGATGAACTGTGATAGATTCTTGAATAGAGAGATGTACAAAACGCTGTGTGAACACAGTTTTGCCCAGCAGCATCAGAGAATTCGGCACCGAGGAAGTGTTATTTGAGCCAGGTTTTAGAAGGGCAAGTAGAAATTTTCTAGTCGGGGAAATGAAGAAAAGGCCTTTAACATAGGGGCATGAAAACATAGGCTCTGTATGTTGAAGGAATGTGAGCAGTCTGCTTTAGCTAGAATTGGGGAAAATAAGCTGGGGGTACAGGTTGAAGTCAGTAAGTGTTCTTTTACTTCAGATGGTCTCCTTTAGATCATACATAGGCTGCCATGATTTTTAAGATTTTTTTTTAAAGAGCACTGTTATAGTGAAATAAGAATTAAGATATTCCAGTCTTAGAGCATACTGAATATCATTTAACTTTTTCTTTTTTCTTTTTTTTTTTTTAAACAATGACTTGTTCATCTCTGAGAGGCAGTATCGTGTAATAGTTAAGAGGATAGACTCTGAAGCCTGTGTTTAAATCTGAACTTTACCACTTAGCTCTTTGATCTCTCAGTTTCTTCATCTGTAAAATGAGATAATAGTAGTACTTTCTTTGTAGGGTTGTTGGAGTTACTGACTGAGTAAAGGTTGAGAACTTAGGACAGTGATTGGCACAATGAAAGTGATAAGTGTATTAGCTCTAATTTTAATCATCTTCCTTATTTTCATTATTATAAACATAGCTTACTGTATGAGGCTGAGTATTAGTGATACAGCCAGATTCTAATGAAGTTTACAGACCAATTTGTCCTGACTGAATGGCCTCATACTATTGTTTTCAAGTTCTTTTGCAATTTTTTTTTTAACCCACAGGGATGAGGTTTTTCCTTTTTCCTTTTTGTGTTTAAACTGTGCATCGGGATGGTTCAACAAGTAAGGCAAATGCTGTGAATACGAAAGCTGCAGTTGGCAGTATACCCCATCCAGAACCCAGGGGAGGCGAATTAGACATAAGTGGTAGTCATTCTCATTAAGCAGTCAGGTAACATCATGATGAGTTGGTTTGAAGCATCAAACCTGTCCATTTAAGTTTCCTTTCTCTAAATGATCAGAGGTCCCACGTTGTCTGCAGTCTCTTCGTTGTATTTGTGTGACTCCATCCCAGAATGGGACCCTGGTGGGCCTCCAGCAATGTCAGTATGCAGCTTTTATCTCCCAAATCCTCAGTGTCAGACACATGCATGTACTGCCTTGGGGTTGTCTTTCCAGATGTGAGGGTTCACCATAGATTTGTTGGATGATTTTTTTTTTTAAGGATCAATAGGTTTGCAGATTTTTTAAAAATATAGTTTATTGTCAAGTTGGTTTCCATATAACACCCAGTGCTCAACCCAACAAGTGCCCTCCTCCAGGCCCATCACCCAGTTTCCCCTCTCCCCAAGGATGATCTTGTTTTTAATGTTTGTTTATTTTTGAGAGAGAGAGAGAGAGAGGGACTGAGAGCATGAGCAGGGGAGGGGCAGAGCAGAGCGAGAGGGAGACAACAGAATCTGAAGCAGGCTCCAGGCACTGAGCTCTAGATCCCAGTGCAGGGCTCGAATCCACGAACTATGAAATCATGACCTTGAGCTGAAATCATATGCTTAACCAACTTGAACTACCCAGGTGCCCCTTGTTGGATGATCTTTACTGTAAAACCTTTTGTGAGCTAGATTCCCAGTCACAGCTGTACTGGCAGCAAAAGTAACTGCTGCTGCGACCCATTCAGCTTGTCTGCTGGAAGTCAGACACATGGCGCCGTTGCCTGCAAAGCATGTGCACAGGACACTAAGCACAAACAGGCTCTCATGGAGGGCCCTCTTTTGCCATTTTTTAAACTTTACTGTCAGCATGCCTGTCTGTATCAATTTTATTCCCATAATATGAAGTTTTTAATACACTATAGGCTTAATACAGCAAGGTTTGTACAAGTTATATGTAAAGTGAGAATAAATAAATTTCAGTTAAGATTCAAAATATTTTTTTTAAACAAAGGGAAATGACTTTATTGTATGATCTTTGTGATCTGTATTTTGGTTCCTTAAAGGCTTTTTTTCCTAATCAGTTTTTTGGTTGTTTTTTGTTGTTGTTGTTTTGTTTTTTTAGTTTAAGAGAGACAAAGATCACGAGTGAGACAGAGCACAAGTGAGGGAAAGGCAGAGAGAAGGTGGGGAACAGAGGATCCAAAGTGGGCTCTGCGCTGACAGCAATGAGCCTAATATGGGTCTTGGACTCACAAACTGTGAGATCATGACCTGAACCGAAGTCAGATGCTCAGACTGAGCTACCCAGGCACTCCTCCTTAATCAGTTTTTTATTTTTTAAAGTTTGTTTATTTTGAAAGAGAAAGCGTGAGGGCGAGGGAATCTCAAGCAAGCTCTGCACTGTCAGTGCAGAGCCTGATATAAAATTCACCCTTATAAATAATGTAATTCAGTGGTTTTTTAGTGTGTTCACAAAATTGTGTAATGTCCCCACTTTCTGATTTCAGAGTGTTTCTGTGCTCTCAGCAAGAAACACCATACTCGTTAGCAGTCACTCTCCATTCCCCACTCCTGCTCTGAGCCCCCGTGACCATCACAGTCCTTTCTATCTCTGAAGATTTGTCTGTTTTAGATGTTTCACATAGGTGGAGTCCTGTAACACGGTGGCCTTTTTTGTTTGGCTTTCATAGCACGTGTTTTCACAACTCATTCATGTTACAGTGTGAGTCAGTACTTCATTCCTTTTTAATGGCTAAATAATAATCTGCATGGATATACCACATTCTGATTACAGACATCTTTGTTGTTTCCACTGACTGTAATGAATAATGCTGCTGTGAACATCTGTGTACGAGTCGTTGTGTGGCTCTGTGTTTTCAGTTCTCTTGGATAAATGCCTGAGAGCGGAATTGCTGAGTCATATGGTAATTCTGTGTTTAACCTTTCTGAGAGAAAGAAAGTGCACTAGGCAGGAGAGAGGAGGAGGGAGAGAGATGATCTTCAACAGGCTCTAAGCCTAGCCTCAGGTTCCATGAAGCTTCATGAAACTTGGTCATCTCATGACTGAGATCCTGAGCCAAAATCAAGAGTCGATTGCTCAACCATCTGAGACACCCAGGCACCCTTTATTTTTAACTTATTGAGGAACTACATGACTGTTTACCACAGCAGCATTTTATATTCCTCCAACGACATATAAGGGTTTCAGTTTCTCACCAAGACTTGTTATTGTTTTTGTTTCTGATTATAGCCATCCTACTAGGTATGCAGTAGGTATCATTGTGGTTTTGATTTGCATTTCCCTAATGAGTAATAATGTGAGCACGTTTGCATGTGTTTATTGGCCATTTGTATATCTTCTTTGGAGGAATGTCTATTCAAATCCTTTGCCCATTTTAGGTTATTTTCCTTTATATCGTTGAGTTCTAAGTGTTCTTTACATATTCTGGATACTAGACCCTTATCAGATATATGATTTACTAGGTTTTATTCCCATTCTGTGGGTTGTTTTTTACTTTCTTGTTGGTATCAGTTGAA